GACACTGGGTTTTGTCAGGTCTTGTGACCTTTCTCGCACAGTAGCAAGCACCCGAATTTAAAAACCAGCACATGTTCTCACTCCATGTCAGAATAGTTGCTAGACAGTAAATTTCTCAACAAATTTATACTGGCATTTATGAATTTGGTTTTGTGGTTCTAGGGGTTAAATTCAGGGCTTACTGCATGCTAGACAAGTTCTCCAACACTGACCATCCCCACCCCATGAGGCAAGGTCATTGTCTTGGCTGGAGTGAGCTCTGAAAACGAGACCCCTCTGGATGAATAGTTCAGGTTAACAAACCAACCAACCAACAAAAACCTTCTCTATAGTGACCTTCAAATGCAGGGAATAAGGTAACTTCACAAGGCACAAGCCTGGAAACACTGAAGTTTTAGTGTGCCCTAAAGGGTTATGATTTCAGTTTCCTGGCATTTTTCAATTAAGAAAACCAATATTCAAACAATAAAGAATGCAATTGACTACAAAATAAAAGTGGCCTCCAGTCTACTCTAGCTGTAATCCTGTTTCCTGTCACATGAGTGACTATTCTCACCTTTCATACACACTCTCTAGATTTTATTCCTGTTCCAAGCAGCGTTAGCAAACACACATATAGGTTTTTATACAAATACAGTCACTTTGCAAATACAGCCCACAACTTGATTTTCCACCTAACAATAAATATTTAGAGATAGGTTTTTATATTATTTGTTCCCCCCGTAACCACTTTCCCCTCCTTGGAGGTGGCTCGCCGCTCTGCATTTTGCATTTATCCTAATTTGTCAGATAGACATAAATTTGTTTGCCATATCCTTTGACATGATAGACGATGCTACAGTGAACACGTATGTACATTAGCCCACACGTGTAGGGAGTTACTTGGGACATGGCTCTTTCAATTCCAGGTTCTGTGTGGTCCAGTGTGCGTGGGAAGGCGATGTTCAAACTCTGGCCCGTGGCCCCAGCACACAGTACGCCAGTTTGGATGGCTAACACAGAACGGCCTTTGTGAATTCTAAGTCAATTTCTGATGTTTTCATTCCTCTTGCTGAGTTTACTGACAGCTAGAGGTCTCGAAGTCTTTTCAAATATTCATTTTAGTCTACACAGAGCAGAAGGGGGCTGCTTTGGAGTGCTTTGTGGGTCCTTTGCACATATCTGACAATGCATGGATGCATTTTTTAAACAGTAACTAAAGATCCACATATTTTGAAAAACTGTATGATGATATACATGGATGAATATGACAAAAGACTAGAAATGTCCACGATGGCTTTGTTGTTTTCAGAGCCTTTTGTTTCTAGTCTCAGGCAGACAGGGCTGGGACACCCCAGGAGCTGCATGTACTCACTCATCGTTGAGAGGCTTTCTTCGTGACACAAGAACTACGAAGTCTCTGGGTTTGTCTCCATTCGCCACAGAACAGGTGACGTGATATATCAGGTCATCCTCACTCACCTGGTCTATGACTTCACAGGATCTGTGTGAACAGAACAGTATTCAAAGACATGCTCCCTGCCCGCTAGAATGAGCCATTCACTTCCCTTATTTATTGGCCTGCTCTCCTTCGTGGCATCTGTATTCACGTGTTGTGATGATCGCTCCCCTCCCCCTGTCCCCACCCCTGCTTAAAGGCTGACTTTGGATAGAGCTGTTTGTTCAGGAGGAGGAATTTTACATGCCATGCAGAGACATCAGCTGTCTGGCCCCAAGGTCACCTCCCTCAAAACTCCAGAGGAAGGCAATAAGCTTTTCACAAAATTATCTTTTTCTGGGATCAAATAAATCATTCGGAAGATGAGTGAGATATAAGGCCGGTCCTGGTGCTCAAGAGATGCAGTATGCTGGGAAGAACACTAACTTTTGAAGCCAAACCATTTGCTTTTGATTTTCAGACTGCTGCTTCCTGGCCATACTACCTTAGACAAGTCATTTTATTATTTCATCTGTATAATGTGGGTAATAGTATCTGGGGGAGTTTCTAGGGGGTTATTGTGAGAGTTAAATGCAAACGCTTGATGCAGATCCTGAGTCTTAAGTAGACATACAAGAGAAGTTGGTTGAATTGAGATGAATTCACTGGCTTCTCCATTCATTCACGTTCAATTTCAATGGAATGCCAAGTCAAGCAGAATTGTGGCAGAAACGTTTAGAATACCTTGTTGAAAGATGAGGTGTCTTTGAGATGCTGCAGTGTTCTGTAGCTTTGGAGGCTAGGCCTGAATGGAACCTGTCACTACAGGGTAGTTGACAAGGCTCACAGCTCCATAGTCATCCCTAACCTGTGGTAACACCAAAACTTTTGATTCTCAAGTCCCTTATGTACAATGACATAGTATTTTCATGATAACATTTGCATATCCTTCAGTGTGCTTTAAAACATCTCTAGACCACTTATACAAAGTAAGTGACATGTTGAATAGTTGCTATACTATTTAAAGGAAGAAGTAAAAGAAATATGTACATGTTCGATGCTGTGCACAACCCCCTCACACACACACACACACACACACATGCACAAACACACATTTTTTATCCAAAGTGTTTAAATACGGAGATTGGGACCTACAGAAGATGGTTATGACCAATCATATTCCAGCAAATTTGGAATGGAAGAGACAGCTTCAGGAACGCTGAGACAGAAAGTGGCAGGAGAGAAGTGGATAGATGGGAGCAGGGCATGATCAGGTCATCAAGAGAGAGTCAAGAGAGAGCAGCAGGCAGAGTTTTTCTCTGGCACTCACTGCTAGCTTTTCACCAAGACTTGTGGCTTCATAGGAAAAGATCTCTGGGAAGACACGGAATACCTCCTCCAGAGCCATGAGGCCGTGTAGTAAAGAAAAAGGAGTGTGTGCTCCAGAGCCTGGCCAAGCTGGATTGCAGAGCAGGCCCTGACACGACTGTCAGTGCAGCCTTGGCCCGGCTCAGAAACAGGAACAGCATCAGCTTTGAATTTGTCAGGAGTGTCGGGGCTGTCAGGAGTAGCTGTGGGGCCGCATGTGCCAACTCAATACAGACGACAAACAGATGGGTGTAATGATGACGTTGTGCATGTCAGTATCACCCGATGCAGTAGTTTGGACAAAGCAAGCTCTAAAACTTCTCTAAATTCCTGAAACAATATATCATGCGTTGGGCCGTGGAGATGAAGTATAACTGAGGTTATTCTTCAAACAATGTCAGGCTGGACTAAGAAAAAAACATTTAAGTTTGTTCTCACATGTAATGGGGGTCCCACAAAGGTCTCATTGTGAAGTCGGACAAGAGATGATAAGCCGTGTGTGCTGGACTGCCAACACGCTTCTCAACCTTAACAGATATGGCATCTTGTTCTTCCAGGGTATATATTTTGATCTAAAAGATATGAAGAAAAATTAAATTATAAGAGAGAGCTATATTTTTGCTTTCGGAGACACTCACATACACACATGCTGCTGTCCTAAGTGCCTGCACCAGTTAAGGCATCTATCAATGGAAGCCAAACAATAACTTCACCTCAGTCCTGGATGCCCAGAAGCTGAGCAGGATGCTAGTTCTGTGCCATCCACATAGTATGGGGGTGAGTTCATTTGTATCATTTTTTTAAATGAAAAATAAAGAACAAAAGCTAGTCTATCTTGATCTCTGTGATATTTCCTGCCTCTGAACACTAAAGACAGAGAATGTCACCACGGTGCTAGACAGACCAGTACCTCCTCTACCCTAGGGCTTTAGAGACAAGATTGTGAATGACACCACTCTCTCAGGATGTCAGGCATGTCTTGAGTAATGTAAAGGTACCCAGGAAACAAGCCAACTGTCTCTAGGACAAACTCAATTTCTCTAAAGGACCCCGGGAACACACTTCTTCCCCACAAGTATTCTTGGCTTTCTGAGTCCCAAGGCCAGTTTCTAATATATAGTATCTGTGAGATAAGCAGGAGCCATTTGACATATACTTAAACACTAATATCATTTCTGTGGCTTTGAGCTTTCTTCCAACTTTTTTTTTTAAAATTATCAGATCTTTGTGTTCAGCTAAGAGCACATTTCTATTCTGCTCATTTTCTCCATCTCTCTCAGGGTGTTTTGAAGTTAGTGTTGAAATTTTCCATCTTATAATCATTCCCATGGCAACCAGCTGGGAGAAGACAAACAAAGACAAGGTTAGGACTTCAACCACAGGAATCGGGCAGATGGAAAGAAATCAAGCTGTGAAGATCTGACCTTTATTGAAGCCTATATCTGTACCTAATATCGTCCTCACTATGAGAATGAAGGAATGAGAAATAAACTACAGGAAGCTTAGGCAGGAAACGAACAGGTGACTACTCGCTTATGTAAAAAGGCATCCCTTCCAGGCCATGGGTGTCTTCAACTCCAGCCTGCAAAGAAAGGCCTGGCCTAGACTGTGAGCATTCATCAGAGACAAACAAGTCCAGGCGGAGCCCCACATGGCTGCCAACAGCCCAGAAGCCAAAGGAAATCCCCTGGTGAAAATCCACAGAGAAGCGTGGTGGCCAGGCTACCGGCGCGCTGCAGAATCAGTGGAGCTGGTCACATGCTTGCTTTGGGACTGTCATGGTCTCCTTTGGTGAATCAGGGGGTGGTGGTGAGAGAACATTGGGCTGAACACTTGCTAAGAGTTGAATCATGGTCCCCTCCTGCCCACACTTCTATGGGAGAGCCCTAATCTCTTGTGCCTTGTAAGGTGACTTTATATGGAAATGGGGTCTTTGCCAATATGCTTCATTAGAATGAGGTCATACTGCAGGAAGGTGGGCCCAATATGACTGATGTCTTTATAGAAAAGGAAAGCTGGACACAGACATGCACATGGGGAGCACACTGTGTGGAGATGAAGTCAGAGATTGGGTGATGCATCTACAAGCCAAGGCTCAGGAGGCTGACTAAAACAGTCTCTTCTCACAAGCAACCAGCCAGCCTCCACTTGATCTCAGAACACCCCCTTTCAGAAGAGAGAACCCATAGATTCCTATTGTTCAAGTGACCCAGTGAGTGGTCCTCTCTTGTGACAGACTTAGGAAATTAAACCAGTAGTTTTCCAGCAAGCTTCTCTCCAGCTTCCAGACGTATTTTATCCATGAGCCAAAAGGAGTAGCCACCATTAAATTCTACCTTCACAGATGGAGCTCACTGACTTATCCATAGTAGATGAGTGAATGGCATCTATTCCTTCCCTGAGAAGGCAAGGGGAGCAGGAAGTCCTTCTTATTATCCTGCTGCCTGAACCAATGTCATGGATGCAAACGAGACAAAGAAAGGCAGTGGTCCATTTTGGCTCTTTTTAGATTTGCCAGAGAAAAGCCACTGTGGAGTTGAATGAGATGCTCCACACAAGTCTCTGGCATTTGGATCCTTGGTCTTCAGGTGGTGGCTGTTTGGGAAGGATTAGGAGGTGTGGTCTTGTTGAAGATGGTGTGTCACTGGGGGTGGGCTTGTGGGGGTGGTGGGCCCGTGCCATTTCCAGGGTGCTTTCTCTGCCTTCTGCTTAAGGTTGCGCCGTGAACTCTCTGCTGTTCCTACCACCCATCGTGGACTCTAACCCTCTGGAACGTAAGCCTAATGAAACATTTTCTTTTAAGTTGCCTCAGTCGTGGTCATGGCGTCTTGTCACAGTCGTAGGACAGTAACCAATCCAGTTTTGGCTCCATGGAAAGATTCCCAAGCTACCCAAGATACTGGCTTCACTTTGCTCATGGGGATGGAAGTACATAGGATTCATAACCAATTCCGGTGTCTGGTGAGATTGCACAGTTTATTCTCTGAAATGAAGCTTAACACAAATAGCTCCAGACTCACTGAAGCAAGTCTGCGCAGACTCCATTAGTGGGACTGCTTTCATCATAATAACGCTCTGCTCTGATCTCTGCTTGGATGCCAACTAGTATTCCAATAAACATTCTAGACTTTTTGTACCAATTGGTAAATATGTTATTGAGATTACAATAGAGACAGGAAGAGGAAATTACTTTTTTTGAAACAACATTTCACTGTGTAACAGCCCTGGCTATCCTGGGAACTCACTCCGTAGACCAGGCTGGCCTGGAAGTCACAGAAATACGCCTGGCTCTGCCTCTTGAGTGCTGGGATTAAAGGCGTGCGCCACCACTGCCCAGCAGAAACTACTTTCTGTAGAGGCCTAGGGGCACCAGGGGATTACGACAGACGACAAGGGCTGGGGATGGGCAGGTGGCACTCTGTGCCTCGTTTGTCTCCTTCAGCTTTTCTGAGACTAGATCCCCTCTGGTCAGCTGTCTATACCAGGATCTTTCCCATAGAGGACTTTTGGGCAATCTATGCCATTTTTGTTTTCACCATTTTGGGGGGACACTCTCAGACTTCAGATAGTCCTTAAACTAGCCATGTCTGTCAGGCCAGCCCCCACCCCCGTGATAATTTAGCCCCTGGAGGACTCTGGAGGTGTTCAAGCTGAGCACCGCCTAGAGAGCTCTCTTCATCTTCTCTCATGACACTACCTCCAAGAGATGAGAATCTCACCTTTGGGGGCGCTTTGGTTGTTGCGTCTGTCTGTACCTTAACCTGCCTAAGTTAGACCTGGCCTCTCTCTATAGGCGAAACACTACAATATCTCCCTCATTTGCAAACCTCCCTAGATAATTCTTGAGCAGTTTCATGTGCATGTATGCCGTTTCTAGATTTGCCTTTGGCTTCTTGTATTACTTTTAGTTATTTCTACCCTTAAATATAGAAAATCAAATATGCATTAAAACCTTAAGCATTGTCCAATTTTATTATAAATATAAGACTTCAAATCCAATTACATTGAAAATAAGAATCAAAAATTGGCTGTGGTACACACTGGTGATACAAGTTCTTAGGAGAAAAATGTAATTCAAGGCCAGCTACAGAGTAAGACTGCTGGGGTGGGGGTGGGTAAAACCTATTGGTGATGATGCTCAGAAGCCAGCAAAAAAAAAAAAAAAAAAAAAAAAAACAGTGAGAGACAGATTTCATTTCCAGAAAAGAAAAGAAGTATGGAAGTTCCTCCTATGAGCAACAGTGAGAAAGCAATGCTTGAGTTATTAAACCTGTTCCTGCATCACTGAGTCCAGTAGACCTGGGAACCTAGATCGCCGGATCTACAGGGCATAAGGAAGACCCTGGAAGGAGTCAACAGTGTGGACAGGGAAATAACCACAACAAAAAGGGAGAAGAAGAAGGCAAAGTGAGAACTGGAAACGACAAGGGAAACAACCCTGAAGTTCCTTAGAGTCCAAGGTGAGAGGGTTGTTTGAGTCTCATCCACACTGACACTGAGGCGGGACTGAAGGCAGGATGGGGCAACAGGTGTGAACTTGGACTGTTCCAGGACAGTCTGGACACTTGACTGCCTGTTTTCTGGGGTAGTGTTTCACTAGCAGACATACCCCAAAGCTGGCAACCCCGACTATCTTCCAAGGTCAGACACTACCATCTACCATGGTCTGAGAATGCAGTGGTTGAGCAAAATGTCCCCTAGAGCTTAGAGTCTAGTGATGTGGGCACTGGCTTTCAAGAGTCTGCCAACATCCTAAAATTAAGGCCCAAATGATACACACTTATTTCAACTGGATAATATGCCAAAATTGTATGCGAAGAGAGATACAAAGAAATTGAAACAAGGCTTCCCTCTTAAAAGGTTTATTATCTGTTTGGAAAAAAAAGATAATTGAAAACCTAAATTGCAATGTAAGGTTTAAATAGCAACTCATAGCAACTGTGGATGAAGCATCATCACAAGACAGAAAAGAATTCAAAAACAAATTAGTTTTAAAGACAAATTTGTTTCGGAGACATCACAATGAAATGAGCTACTAGAGAGAGAAGTGCATTACATGAAGAGAGAACTTATGGAGAAGTATTGGTCCTGGATCATCAAGACCATCAGGTTGGGGTGGATGGAAATGTAGAAAAGGGAGTGAGAGGTGAAAGGTGGGATGTGAGAACCCAGGCCTGCCAGGAGGCAGAGGTGTGGGGGACAGATGAGCAGTGCTCTAACTCATCCAGCAGGAAGGCCCAGGGCTAGAAAGAAGTCCACCTCTTGACAACAGTTGCCCCTTGAGCGAAGCATCGGATTGGCCTGACAATCATGATAACCATGCTGGCTTTAATCTGCTATGGGCAGCAACAGCATAAACATTGGGCACTTACCTTCTCCAAGGTGGTGGTAATCTCCCAACCGCTTTTGGATGCCAAATTTTTAAGAGCTTCCACATTGGCATTACTTAGGGATCCCTAAAACACACACACACACACACAAATTTAAAGCTATGTGTTCAATACATAGGCTTGGGGGCCATCATTTTCTGTTTCAATCAAGGCCAGTGTTGGAGGAGGCGTATTTTGAGCCAAAGTGATAATGCTGAGCACAAACTAAACTGTCTACTGCTAATATCTAACTTCTATCTCAAAGTCCAGACAAGGTAACTACGTGCTTATCAGATGTGTATGCTTTGAGTTGGTATCCTGAGCCAAGACAGATGCCCTTCCATGTGACTTGTAACAATGTGTGTGATACGTAAACTTGGATCCTGCATTAGATTTCGCTGCCAAAAATGTTTAAATTACTAATCCTTCTTTTCGAAAAAGTGTTTATTTTTATTTTATGAATATGGATATTTTGCCTACATGTATGTCTGTGCACCACGTGTGTGCAGTGCCTGTGGAGGACAGAAGAGGGCACCAGAGCTCCCGGAACTGGAGTTACAAATGGTTGTGAGCCTCCGAGTGGATGTGGGAATTGAACCCGGGTCCTCTGGAAGAGCTTCCGGTGCTCTTAACCACTGAGCCATCTCCCTTGACATAACTAATCCTTCTTGCTCTATAAGAGTTCAAGTTGATAAGCATGCCAATCGTTGCGAATCAAGGCAAGACACCAGATTGAGACATCCCATGCCAGCTGGTGTCATAACATCTTGGGGGCAGACTTGGGAAGCTGTTCACAGAGTTCAAATCTGACAGCAAGATAACCAGTGGCATCATTTAGAAATGGAGGGTTATACAGTTCACCTTGTTACCTAACCGTGTAGGTACAACCTGGCCCTGTTAAGCAAGGAGGGTTCCTGATGTTCCCTGTGTGATGTTCCCTGAAGCATTCCAAACTGTCAAACTGTTACCTTTTTGCTTATATCCCATTGTGTGTTGAGTGGAACTTCTTTTTTGTGGGAAATAACGTATTTCCTGAAAAAAATAAAATAAAATATTAAGTAACATTTTTTTCCTCTATGCTTAGTAGAGGACCCATGATAATTTCTTAATTTGAAGTTGATTGTTAAAAAAAAAAAAAAAAACCATGCTCTTTGGTGGGGGAATCAGGAAGAACCATTTCCAGGCTGAATCATTTTTAACTTTTAAGAAACATTAGGTGCCTTTTCTTCCCCATTATGTGGGACCCCAGGAGTGGCCAGTCAAATGGAGAATAGCCCATGAAATCCTCACACTTTATGTCTTTTACCTGCCTAGGCGAATTCTCCTTCTTGCGATAGCTCCCTGATAACGCCGAACATCATCCTTTAAAGAAAGAGTACAACCAGTCAGTTTCTAATATGTGGGCACTGCAATCCTTAAGTATCCTCCCCTAGACTAGCTGGGACTCCGCATCTCTGTGATACTTCCTTGTGAGGTCTGAGCCTCTCGGCGACCTTGACGGCCATTCATTTCCTTTTCAAAGTGGAGATTTTTTAAATTTCTGCTACTAAAATCACACAGATTTAACTCGAGAGTTTTTAGAGTGGGTGAGCATTAGCACTAAGTTGATTCCTGGATGAGAAAGACGGGTTTCCCATGAATGTGGCGCAGCATCCAGAACGGGATGCCCTAGACATGACGGCAGATTCCGAAAGGAGACACAGAAAGCCATATGCTCCACAACATCTATTGTAGAGAGAGGTGCATCACCAGAGTGATGTGAGGGGGGGAAAAACCCCATTGTACTTAGTTAGGCATAGAAGAAAGCAAACCTCCTGGAGACAGTGGCCGGTGGGAAGCTGCATGGAGCTCTGTGCCCACAGGTCACTGAAGCTTGCATGGTGACAAACTGACCTTTGATATGGGTTGGATTCTGGGGAAGATGATGGCCTCCTCCTGATCATCAACAGCATTGTAAATGAGAAAAGCGCTGTTGATGTGGCGGCCTCGGCCCTCGGCCCACTCCTGACAGTCAAAGGCCTCAACACGCACTCCAACTTCCACACTGCAAGGGGGATGCAGGGTGGTGGGCAAGGAGGACCGAGGCATGGTCGGCCTCCCCTCCCACCAAGCAACAAGAGGACAAGGCTCTGATTTTTCTCCTTGGATGTCAGCAAACCTGTACAACTACTAAAATCCACTTTGGGGTATTGCAGGAGTGCCTGAGTGAGTTTCTGTTTTCCTTTCCCACTGGGATACACATCCATTGACGTATTTAGTTCAAGGGGACAGTGAGTTAAACTGTGCTCAAAACACGTTTTCTTCCTTAAAAGCAATAGTACTATGGTTTAAAAGAATGAAAGGCTGAAGTTTGGCAGAAAACAGAGATACCCTCCCCTCTTATTATACATCTTAAAAAGAAGAAAATACAGACAGGTCGGTGGTGACACACACCTCTAATCTGAGCACTTAGGAGGCAGAAGCTGGCAGATCTCTGTGAGTTTGAGGCCAGCTTGAGCTACAGAGTGAGTTCCAGGAAAGGCTCCAAAGCTACACAGAGAAACACTGTCTCAAAAAGCCAAAAAAACAAAAAAACAAACAAACAAACCACCTTGTGAAACCTTTTCACTATGTACTGGGAATGACAAAAATAACTATGATGTTGTCTGAACTCACTACCATAAGCAACAAGCCCATCATGGATGCTGAAAGGAAGAACTCATTCTGGTAGGCTGGCAGGTACCAATTGGAACCATCCTGGGCCAGCTGGATGTCCCAACACTCTATGGGATAAAACAACTGGACGGTATTGGGATGCAGCCCCTACCCTCATTTGAAAGGAGAGCCCGGTTTGTGCATCGCTCTGAGTCAGAACAAGGAGCACACTTTACCTGTTCTGAAACGTGTTGTTGACTATGGCATTGAAGACGAGGCGGTCCCCAACTGCGGATGGTCCCCGGAATTTAAACATGTCCACAGACTTCAGAAAGGGGTGCCCATGGCACAGGCGGCTAAAGAAACGCAGGGAAGAGAAAACCAGAGATGGACATCCTCCAGAGGAGTCTCGTACACAGCCACTTCATTGAACGGCTGCCCTAGACAAGCAAGCAACCTGTTTTCTAAGCAGACAACTCCTTTGTCTCAAGAGGAGTTTGGAGGGGATCTGAAGACAACCTCCGACATTTGGGGGAACACAGCGGTTACTTCCTGAGGATGGCGGCTCTCTGGCATTGGTCTGTCTTCTACGGAAGTCCCTCCGAAAGCAAAGCAACGCTTTTTGCTGTCATTAGAGTGCCATACTCATCCTGACAGCTCCTGACAAAGGTCCCCAGTGTCCTGGGACTTGTCGATTGGGGTAGAACACAGTGAGGACAACTGCCAGCCAGTGTTGATCACACTTGTTCCTCAGCCTCCCCAGTCACTGAGCTGATCCAGAGATTAAAAGCCAAACTTTCCCTTCATAGAACAAATATGCCTGGATTGGTGCACAGAGCAAGAAAGGCTACAGAACAGACATTTCACAGCTTTTGCATAATTTATGAAAAGGGAAACCACTTCAAGCCATGTGTCCTGGGCCCCCACCCCCAGACCAACACACACTGAGAACCTTGCAGAAATGGTTGCCACCGTCTCCATCCATGCCATAATCTGCCCGCCAAATGTGTTTCCATGATGGTTGGCATGGGGTGGGAGGACGAGCTCAATGCTCTGGACGGAGGTGCCCATGGTGGTGGCCGTTCCTTCTTCACCATTGCAAATGGGATCTGTGAGGTGACGGCAGAGACAGGGGGATGAGCCACAGGACCTGCTCTGGACTTTCGCTTCCCTTCAGCAAACACAGCTCTCTTTCGGGAAAATGACATCATCCTTAAGACCTTACATCAAGGATGTGAGGGGGTTCTCAAGAGTGGCCTCCCTCTGAAAAGCAGCTGCTTCCAGTGTTCTGGGTTGATAACAGACCAGGAGGGCTCCTTAAGAGACAGGTAACCTCTGGAGACCCACAGAGATTTCCTAATGAGATCTGAGCTTGCTCTACCCAACAGGGCTGCATAAGGTAAGGATTTGACCACAGGCGCGTTTACCAAGTGTTTGGAAGGGTCTACACTTGGCTGTGTGGTATGCTTTGATCTAGCAAGAGTGAAGTCTTTGGACCCGCCCCTTGGCATTGTTATGAAAAGCCCTTTTGAAGAGACAGAAGGGGCTGGTGGATTTTGATCCAGGTCCTTTCAAAGCTGTCTTGTGTTTCTGTCTGTCTCCTCTCCGCTATCTTTCTATCTGAAAGTTTCTTATCCCTCTCTTCTCCTCATAGGAACCCTTTAAAAGGTGACAGCTGACCTCCCACAGTAACCCAGCCGGGCTTAGTGTTAATCCCAGCACTCAGGAGGTAGAGGCAGGCAGATCTCCATGAGTTCAAGGCCAGCCTGGTATACAAAGCGAGTTCCAGGACCGCCAAAACTACACAGAGAAACCCTGTCTCAAAAAACCACACACACACACACACACACACACACACACACACACACACACACACAGAGAGAGAGAGAGAGA